CCGCGCGCATGCACCGCCGGCGCGCAGTGGTGACGTCAGGAAAAGAGGTGCGGGCCTGCGGAGGGGAGGGGAAGCTTCCGGCCGCCATCTTCTCGCTTGAGGTGGGCAGCCTGGTCAGTGCCGCACGTGTTACATACAGCCTGACAGCCGTCCGGCGCCACTGCCCCAACGGGGGGCTTACAGCAGCTCTGGGCACCGCCCGATGCGAGCCAGCTCCGTGTACTGGCGGGGACAGCTGGCTTCCCTCCCTCCTGTCTCCCCCGAGCACTGACCCAGCAGGGCTAAAGCTCAAGGCTCACCCTTAGCTTTGCTGGGTGAAATAAACAGCACCATGCTGAGGGGAGGGATGTTAATCCCCCCCAGCTGTACTCCTCAAGCCTAAGTAAGCCAGACCCCAGAGAGCATATCAATTTGGGTACTAAAAACATGAAATTCAGGAACATCCAGGCTTTTGAGGATGTGCAATTGCTTTAATTGTAAAGCAATTATAATGAAATTTTGTGCAAAAAGCTCTTTAGGCATTAAACTGTGCACAGGTGAAAACTACTGTACATAAGCTAGTTTTTGATCTAACAGCATATTTCAACATTCAGCAAGTCAGATTTTCAAGAGCTGCTTTGAAATGTTTAATGTGCTTTTTGTTTTAGATTTACTTTACAAGGCAACTTGTTTCACTGTTATCTCAATACAAAAATCTTACAATGCTTCATTTGCTAAAAAACTACAACATTAAAACTGGGGTTAGGTTGTTCTTTCCTTTTGCTAGCTGTTCTGTTACAAGGAGTATCCCATAGTCCACTGCTAGAGGTTGCTGTACTTAATAAGTTACAGAAGTTCTGTACATAATTACAGTCATAGTAGAGTATGCAGCTGTATAATACACCACAGTAAAACACCATGAGGGCAAAACCTACTATATATGAAAGCTTTTTGTTGAAGATTTTATAGTTTATTTGACCAAGAGTCGATATCCTCACATCAGGAGACTGACATCCATCTTTCTTAGGCACTGATCCAGGCAGAATTGCCTTGCAGAAAAACCTGGCTCTTTTGCCAAACTCATGCCTTATCAAAAAAAATTTATGTAGCTCAAAGTCTTTAACAAGTCTACAAAAATAATTATTTGCTAGCCTCGTGCTTACCTTCAAATACATAAGTATTTCAATAATTTCACATTCTCTTTCTGTATTAGGTTCACTGCAGTATTAGATCAGGCAGAAACTTCAAAACCTGAGTCAAGTGTGAGTCAACCAACTGGATATTTCAGCTTGAACAAAAAAGTCTGTCTAAATACAAGTCTTAAAAAAAAATGTTTGTACCACAGCAGATCAAGCTAACACTGAGTATCTTTTCTGTGGCGGGGGCGGGGGGCGGGGGGGGATATCACTATCATAAGTTTTAGCACAGGATATTCAGGGAAAATGTTGTAAGACCATGCTTTGTAAACTTTTCTACCAATCAGAGACTATTGGCTTTGGAATGAATTTTCAAATAGTTGGTGTTATGCAGGGCAGTAATTAACAGCTAATGCTATGAAAACAAGCAACTTTAACATCAAGTTACAACAGCAAGAGCAGTGAATGCTCCTGCATCAAGTAGTTAAAATGGGATATTAATTTATATTTTATTATAAAGTTTACAGCATTACATAGTCCAGCATGGCACGGTAAGTAACCTTGTTACAGCTGCAGTATTTGTTTTTGCTTGGTACAAAAAAGCTGAACAGCAGCACAATTGTTACATTGAATCCGGGATTGGAATGAATTTGTTTCTTCTGAATAGGGATGAGTCAGTGTTTTAAAATAAAAAGGCTGCATTTTTAAATCTCAAATATGTGCAAAATTCCTTTCAGTACAGTAGAGAATATGGTAGAGATGTGTGCAATCTTGAACGTTACGTCCCAACCCAGATACCGCCAATATATTGCAAACAATCACATGGAGGGTGAACTCCAAATGGTTACTCACGACTTTCAGTATTATTTTCAAGAGTCCTCCTCACAGCTGGTGTTCTCTCCCCACCCCACATTATGTCCTTTGATGCAGTGCATCAAGTACTGACATTCATAATTGTTGTAAAAAACCCCATTGGTCCATGATAGTTCTAATAAGATTCCTTCAGGAATTCCAGTAAACTCTCCATCCTAAGACAGCTGTAACTGTTACAATAGATTTATGAAAGCAAATGCAATCTGAGAGATGAAGGTCTGTGAAGATTAGTATCTCCATTTTCCTAAGGTCTTCAATAGCTTTTAAAAACCCAGAAAATGGATTCCGATGTTATTATTCAGAAGTCCCTTGATTTTGGTGCTTTAGCCTTGATGTGATTTTCTGTTTTCACATGTTGTAGGCAACATAAATAGGATCCAACTGGTCAGCTAAAAATCCATCTCTCAAGTGCATTCGTTGTTTCTCACCACGGGAATTGATAGGAATAACACCGGGGTCCACAATGACTACAACACCTACTATGAGATAATGCTCTTCCAGAACCACATTTGTTACCAGCGCGACCAGGTCCAACGCTTCTTGTTCTGAGCCTTCTAATTCCACAACCACCACCAGCAAGTTGGTCCATGTAAACACAGCGCTGTCAGCATGATACAAATAGTAATGATGAGAAAAAAATACACGTCAAAGGAAGCTAGTTATCAAAGAGGGACTCACTGAAAATAAATTTTGTAAGTACTTGAACAGTATCATAAAATGAGAACAAGTGATATAATAGTAATGTGTAAGTATTTGTAAATCTAGAGGTATTAACGCTGTAACTTCTTGGGATATTCTCTGCCACTTGTTTTTTAATTGTCCATGTACAAAATATAAGTAGGTCTTTTTCTCTTATATGTACACAATCATGTATTTAAGAATCCTTTGCACTCATGTATTGAAATGGGAACCATTAAGATTTCACATTCAGTGTGTGCATTCTTGATATCAATGTACTTGTGTAAATCTTCAGAGATTATTAAAGGAAAGACAAAAACTTCCAAAGATTACAAGTAAACACTACCACTTTGAGACTGAAAAGGACCTACAGCCTAATGGCATACATCATCCATTAGGACCAAATGAGAATAGTATGTTAGAAGATACCATTCAAGAAATTCTTGAGATGTGTTTACCACATCCGAGTGTGTACACTGACACAGCCAAGGAAGTCAACACCACAAGTTGCAAGTGCTCTGCTGCCCCGTTCATGCCTGCCTTCCCTGTCTTTCAGACTATGAAGATGAAACTCTGATAAAAAGGTGGGCTTTTTTTTTTTTTTTTTTTAGTGGCTGAGGACTGAGCAAGCTCTCAGTCTAGCATGCTATTCCACAAAGCTTGACTCCTGCTGTGGTAGAAGAAATAAAAGGTTGCAGAAAAGTGATACTGAGGCTCTTACCATTCTGCAATGCTCTTATGGGCTCTTATTACAGATGTCTCTATATCAATGGGATGGTACCTCATTCCTCTGAGCTCCAGTGTTTCATCCAAAGAGCCTACCACATATAAGGCATCATGCCTCTCTGCAATATAGCACAGACATTTAAAACATCATCAGATCTACAGAACAAACACATGGTCATTTGTACGTGCTTATTCCTGACGTTCTAAGATGTTCCTGGTGCTTCCTAGGAGAAGGAATCTATAATACAAATCAAGCTCTACCATTTAGAGAGAAGAGAATTAAGAGATCATTTAGCACCTCTGCCTATTGACTCCAAGCAAATGAAACCAGACTAAAAAGAATTTCTGGGTCATCCAATTCTGCTCCTTCTCTCGCATAATGTAATCTCAGTTCATAAACCCAATCAAAACCCATTGTTAAAAGCATCTTTTTGTCCCACTATTCTTACCGGAGAACTTGTCTCCTCTGATCGATAGGAACACTTCTCCAATTTCCAAATTTAACTTTTTTTTTAAAACCAGCTTATACCCACTTATCCTTGTGCCAGCAATATTCTTCTCAGCTTCTTAAGTTCCCCACAGTTAATGCAGCAAGAACAACTCTATCCCCTTCTCAGCGTTAGCTTTGCTAGGTTAAATAAGCAAAGCTCTCCTAGACCCTTTTCGAGGGACATGCTTTCCACATTGCCAGGTTCATCCTGTAACTCTGTTTAGTTCAACTTTGCTTTTTTTTTTTCCCACTCATTTTATAATTCTGCTCAATCGTGTAACTTGAGACAAAAAGCATGCTGGGAAGCTGCACTGTATTTCACACATGCTTGCTACATTAATTCACCATACCATAGCCTCTCAAATGCTGATGAACTAAAGGACAACTGACATTGTTCCACAGTGATAATAATCTCTCTGATACATGATTTTTCAGAAAGCTACAAGGCACAAAAACTTGCTATAGTAATCTGGTGCCTTGCCACCTGCAACTTCTCTTTCTTTGTGAATGTCTGCTCACAGATTCCAATTTCTGTCAACTACAAGCTTACTCAAGAACAGGAAACCATTTCACTTTGAACAGTGACAGGAGGACAATTCTGTCAAAGCATCCAGTGCAGAACCTTGAACTAAGCAGCAGCACAAAGTGCCAGGTAACTGGTAGTTACCTGCCAGGTCAGGTAACTACTCTAGAAAATCAGAGAGGAAGAAAGCAAGGAAAGCTTAGACCACCTTGGTTGAGTGTTCTTTTATCATGCTCTACCAGCTCTGGAGGGGAAGATGACATGCAGTAAAAGCTTCTTCAGGGAGCTGGATGTGTTACATCAGCTCCCACCAATAGCCTGAGACCACATTCCTTCAGGAACAGAAACTCCAGAGGGGCTGGCCAAGACAGAACTGCTCAGTGTTTGCTAAGTAGGCTGAATGGGTGGAAAGGCCTGGTGCCAAGAAGGGACCCTTCTGTGTAATGGTGGTAGCTTGTGGGCTAAGGAAACCACACATCTCTGATGAAGACTGTTCCTTCTTTCTTTTGCTCTCTGATGGCACTCTGACTGTGAAAGAGGGAAGCCTGCACGACGCTGCTCTGGAGGAGATGGAATTGAGTGGGCTGCAGGGATTTCTCCAGCTGGAGCAATAGCATCCACCTTTCTTGTTCTCAAGAGCCCCAGGAAGACTGAATAGCACACCAGCACAGTAGACTGGAGGATGACCCTCTTTTAGCGACTAGATCCAACAGAGTTACATCACAGACCATTTCTGAACCTTGGACTGGTATCCACTACAACAGATGGGGTAGCTCCTCAACAGAAGTCTGCACGTTCAACAAATTGCTTTCCTCACTCACTCTTCTTCCTTCACGTCATGGAGGACTAAAAGTAGGATGGACATGGATGGTGTCCCCCAAACCCACACTTATCTTCCAGAAGTGGGAACATGGCTTTTTTATCTTGTACTGTGACTGATTACAGGAAATGTAAAAGGTGTCTGTGAACCCCCTACAGTTCATTATCCAGTGACAGCAGTGACAGAACACTTAGAGTATCCATGTAGATACCACCATTCATTTAAGTCCAATCACACAGAATTAGCAATATACATTTGCTAATAAGTTATACACATTCAAACACCTTTTCTCAGGATGCTTAGAGATTACTTTTTTTTTTAAAGTGTGTGACAATCAAGAGTTATACCTACTCCATATTCTGTCTCAACAGAAAAAGGAACAGTTTTTCTTCCATCTGCTTATATTTCTCAAATTTAGACATCTTGGCTTAGATGAAAAAATGAGATTAACAATTTATTTTCTATACTGGAAAAATTATGGAGAAGTTACTCCTCTAGACCTTTAACTTCTGAAAGACTGGGAAATCACTAGTATTGTGCATGTCCTAAAAGTGCTGAATGACAACATTATTCATATTATCTACATAAGCACTGAAATGCTGCATCCTGTCTGTAAGGAAAGAGGTTCAGAGGAAAAATGAGTAGAAAGGCTCTAGTAATTCTAACAAATGTACTCTTATTATTTTGTGTAAATGGAAATAAAGGAAGATGAACATGATTTCTAAATCTGTCAAATGGGCATTATGAATTTCTCATTTTGCACGATTACCCAGTATCATTATAATCAATGAATATGTACAGAGTAACAATTCCTGTTACATTCAGCACTTTTCTCTGATGGAAGTCAGGATGAACTTGCAGGACAGCTTACTCTTTGCTAGCTCAACTACCCCAAGGAGTTCCAAACACATGCTTCTGTAAGTACATTTGTTTTGTCTCACCTCCACTAGCATCAGTAAGTTCTGTTCTGCGCAGAAAGCCAAGGTATCCAGTCCGAGCCCATACGGTCTGAGTGTCTCCAAAACTCAAGCGAGCAGTAAAGTGATCAGCATGCAGTGCTTCTTCTCCATACACTGTGTAGTAACCAGTAGCATTGTGTGGACTACTCACCCATATCTAGGGGATATAAAAAAATAGGGGAGGCGAGGGAATCATTCCCATGTAAACATCGGTTATTTTGCCAGACCCAGGCAGCATCATTTATTGATTGAAAAGATCTATTCTATTTTTGCTCCTAAAATGCCAGGAGTAGTTTCATTAAAATAATTCAGTAACTTCTGCCTCACTGAAAATGATCAGGAAAAAGGAGTAAAAAGGAGTTTTAAATACATGTAATCAGGGATGATAAAGAGGAAAAATCAACTAGGTATTTGGCTTACTGGAAAGAAACACATGTTAACCTGCAATCTTCTATTAGTTGGGCATCTTAGTATACACAAATCCACATGTATATAAAACAAAGATTAAAACCAACAGTAAATTACCTCATTACTACTGTCCACTTATTGGAGTACATAAGATGTTCACTGCCTCTTACAGTAAATTACCTCATTACTACAGATAACTGATGGGAATACATAAGATATTCACTGCCTCTTCTAGCTGCCAATCAGACAGACTAGTCAACTGATATCACCTGTTACTGGCATGCACTAGTTTGGCAGAGGAGGGAAGAAACCATGCAGACATACATACAAGTATGTAAACTGTTCCAGCAGAGTTTGTTCACTTGCCACATTATGTGGCCATGCCACTAAGAGACAGGCGTTGATCTAACATTGTTTATCAGCAGTGATTTAATATATAGATAAATCAAGTACAACAGCATCGAAGTTTTACCTCTCCTAAATGTGAGTCTCCCAGAGGTCCCTTGGTTTCCGTGTGTGCTATGATGACCTTTACGCCTGGAAGAATCTTGGAGAAGAAGCAAATGTTTAACATAGAAGTTAAGAGAACTTGAATACATCAAAAGAAAAATTAATAATGCAGAGCCACAGAAGTCAACAGTCTGTGCAATTCTTCCCCTCCTACTCCTCTCTGCACCACAGATACCGGCCATCTCTTCCAACCAAGTCATTTAATCATTTAAACTCTAAGCAGCTATTTTGCAGCTTCAGAGTTCAAGTTTGTTTCACACCTGAAAAATGCCTTCCACATGAAGGCCTCCAATTTTTTCAATTGTAGCAACATATCCTATTGCTTCACTTCATGCACATGGCTTCATTTTAAGTATCTGTTCATTTTATGCTCTCTCTAGTGCCTCTCCTAGATACACTGTGATTAGTGAAGCTTGTTCCACAGATTCTGTACTGAGATCCAGCTGAAGCAGCTCCCCACCCAGGCAAGGATCATGAGGGGGAAGGACTGCTCTCAATCTCTCACCTTCCCAGACTCCATAAGCGGCAGACTGTGTGGAGAACCTCTCTCTACCAAACGCACCCTGAGAAAATAAGAGAATGCATTTGTACAAGGATTTATGAACTTAAATAGAAGTTAAATAGATGTATTCCAGTATATCCAGTATTACCCTATCCTTAGCTGCACTGACCAAACTGTTATGATGCTAGCCAATTATGCTCAGTTATTTACAATGCAGTAAGACAGTTAAGAGTTTCTAGCTGTCTTCAAGACTTCCATATTAGCATTCCCACAGACCATGTTTAAGAATCAGAAACTCAGCTCTCTGGAGAGATGAGTAACTTTTTCCAACAGAGCTTTAAGGTTGGAGTTCCACCAGCATTTTAAATTCACCTTCTTTGTTGGACTCTCCTGGACCTCTGCTTGCCACAATGAACCATGGCAGAGCATCAGTAGGAATTACAAGAAGTGCAGAGCAAGCAACCTAAATGGAATCAAGTGACACTACGCACCCCATTAGCAGCATAACTTACAAAGGTAGCACATTTGCAGAAGGAACAAAAATTTAGTGTAATAGGAGAGGTGTACAAGAGAAAAGGTTCTTATACATGTTATAGTACACTATCACTACACCTATAGGCTAGAACTGACTAACACAGTGGCAGCTTTGAGGCTATGGCTGAACCTGTTTTTAACAGGCATATATACCACGCAAGTCACAGTGATATATTAAATAAGGAGAAAATGAGTGTAGTTTACATTGATCTGTTCAGATGCCAAATCAGGATCATGCAAATGATGGTGAATAGCTTGTCTTCAACAGCTGAGATTTAAGCTTGCAAAAATTAGAGGTGAGTACTCACAAAAGCTGCCAGTTAGCATAAACCCCTAATTTAACATTATAAATTAAAAAAAATTAAGCAAATGCACCAAGTCTTGATATTATGTTTCTTACAACAAGTACAGAAACAAATACATATATGTATGTACCCTACTAAACTTACAGTCTGAACTTGGTGCTGCCAGCATTTGTATTAGCTAAGTTAACCGAGAGACAAGTTAATATGAAAATTATGATTACAGAATTAAGTCTGATAGAATGATGTACCCTTGGTAAGTTTCCAGATGACACTTGGCAAAGTCACCTTTTGCTAATGGTCTGGTTAGGTAAGAAACAGCTAATGACTCTAGATTATACAAGACAGATGAACAGACACTGAGTTAGGTGAGGGTCTAGAAAGGAACAGCAGAACAAGTGATGGAGGAGGAGATGCCGGACCACTTCCAGCACACAGCCATCAGTAAAGGATTCTCTAGGGCGGGCTTCCTTGTATACAGTGATGAGGGATTAGCTGCTGCCAAGAATATTTCAACATACCAATGCAATGCAACAAGGCTGAACTTTTTCTTGTACAGCCATTAAATAGTTAATGCTTTAACATAATCAATACCTGTCATGTCGAAGTGCTCTCATATCTACATAGACTGTTGTTGGATCTGGTCCTGCTGTTCCCTAAGAATAAGAAAGAAGAAGCAAATTCAACAGAAGCCAGAAAATCCTGCTTTCATTCTCACAGCCACATAAATTCACAAATTCCTCTCCCTTTTTTACTGACACTTATAAAGTACTGCCCTAATCTATGAAAAATATAGAAAAACAGCCCCACTTTCTACAGTGACTGCCATAAAACTTTGATGTTTTATGGAATCAGTAAATGAATGCACAAGTGAAGTATGCATTTATACAGGTATGTCTAAGTTTTTAGAATTTCTAAATTTAAAACTTAAGTTTTAAAAATTCTATTTTGGTAAGCAGCCCCTCTAAAAACTGCATAACAAGTGCAAAGCATGTAAGCATAAACCTATGTGGGCCTAATCCCTTTCCCAAAGCTCAGCTGTTCTACTTTATAACAGTTTTGTCAACTTTGAAGAAGAAAACCATTATTTAACTAAAACATAACTCTAACCAACCTGTACCTTTTCAGGGCTTCTGCCAGGTAACAGCCTAGGCAGAGACAGAACTCTGTTGCAGTCAGAGGATAAATCTTCTGACCAACTCTGGTGAGAGGTTTCCCATTTCCCAACATGGGAACAGGGGACCTTTTTTCTCCCCCACCAGAATTTAATCTCAAGACAACTAGGAACTACTGTGAAATGCATATTTAAGCTAAAAAAACAGGCAAAGTTTCCTCCTCATAGCAGTTTCTCATTTTAGAAATACTTAAAATGAGGCCATGTGGCCATCAGCTCAAGATTTCAATGCTGGACAACAGTAATAATGTCTTTACAATGACATTCCCTTGTACTTTTGTAGCACCACTGAGGCTCAGTGACACTGATGGCCACACCAGATTAATGGTAAGATCTTTATCTTTAGGAATACACCATTCAGTAATTTTAATCATTGCTATAACCCCCTTTCCGGCTTGTTTGAGCTGTACTTAAGCTATGAGTGTTCTTTGTGAGTAAAACGGAACTTCTCTAGAAAAAAAAAAAACAAACTCGCTTCATTTGTTTCAAATGAAAACTCTCTTAAATGGCATACATTTGTTATAGAGTAATGCTGCTGAAGCAGACTGACTTGAGGACATTACAAGCACACATGCATCACTATACCTGTTCAGCCAGCTTGCCCAGCCTGTTTGGCTGACAGCGGGACCACAAACAGAAGTAACAGAGGCCATCAAAGTGTGTGAAACAGAGAAAGGGGAAAAAAGAAAATACAAACAAAGAGGCACTGGAAACATAAGATACACACAGTAAGACAGAAAACAAAACTTATACTGTTTTAGAGTGAAAAGAAAATTTCCATTTCAGATTATTTAAGAGCTTGGCACTTTTAAGGGGTTAATTGGGAAACATACAAGTCCCAGTTAATAAACAAGAAGAGCTTTAAGGCAGATCATATGTAATGCCTGTTCCCTCATCATAAATCCCTCCTCCATCTGTAAGTATCTAAAGGCTGCTTGCAGCTTCAGAAGTACCACCTCAGTAAACCAGTCCAGTAAGGTTGGAAGATGTTATATATTTATTTGCATGCTAACTTGTATCAAATAGCCATTCAGTTTGGCTATTAATCTATATTAATTTAAATTCAGTGATTTAAAGAAGTCAAATACAGGTACCCCTTTGGAAGAATGGGGGAAAGAGGTTAAAAAAAAAAACCCAAAAAAGGGCTCAAGAATGGAGGACAGAGACGAAAAAGGTATAAAATGAAGGGGAAGCTTAACTGCCCAGCAGCCCTACACTCTTCACAGTTTTCTTGGAATACTTTTCACATTGCCATTTAACATTCTGCAGAAAATCTGATTTTCCCCCCCTTTGTACAGTCTAAACAGCATATATCCAAAGCTGGCTTTTAAAATTCTTATTTAGACAGGCAATTCAGAAAGCTGTTCTTTCACACTTGGCATCTGAAATGTTTTATTCAATTAATTTAAAATCTTTCTGTATAGTCATTTTAATTTCACCTATAACCTTCCTATTTTTCAATCTATTGATTCATAAAATTGCTCTGGTTGCATTTCTTTATAACTATTTATCTAGGGGTTGTTAAAAACCTTTTCTCCTTTAATATGTGTGAAAGAAGCTATAGAAACTAAAGAAACAATTATGAATGGCAACATATTTAAGAAGCTTATAGCCCCAAACATCTTTCTCATAAGAAATCTAGAACATTAAAATATATTCTGAGAGGAAAAAAGGCTTTTCTTCATCTAGTGGGCACCAGAAAGGGGGAAAAAAAAGTAAAAAAAAAAAGTTTTGCAAAAGCACAGTAGCAATCTTCATTGCTTCATAGAATCATATTTTTTTAAGTGTAATTCATATCAATAAAATTGGAAATAAGTATTACAATTACACACATACTTAATGCATGTGCCATCTATGAAATTCCCCACATACAAAGCTATATACTGCCACATCTGAAACTTGAGCAGTTTATCTATTAACTCAAGTATCATCCAAAACGCAGGGTGCTTTGCCAATTTCTAAACCATACTGAGTACCCGATTTTCAGGTAAGTTGTGGAACACTTTTTTTTTTCCTCTCCTAACTAGAGAAGAAATATCTCATTAAGAAAAGTTAGATTTAATCTGGTTAAGTTACACATACAAGATTATCATCAACTGAATACTAAACTGTCAAAGGTGGGTCTGGACCACAGCATGTCATTATCTCCAGTCTGTGAAGTAGGGCTGTGTACTTTATGGGCATATTCTCCCCTTCAAAGTTTCCAATTTTACACCTTTAATTGAAAAAAAAGTCCAACTCTCACAGGAGCTGAGACAAATGTATCTGCATGTTGATAATACTCATTGCAGATCTTTAAAAGTAAAAAAACCTGCCAACCTTGTCAATTTTCCTCTTATTTGAGGAACTCTGTCTTCTGTTTAATTCCACGTATATATAAGCTACTTTTCAAACAAGCAAAATCTGAATCACACAAAAGCTGAAATAGCACTGCTTGAAATATTTAATAAGTTTATGATCAGGAAGCTGTGTATTTAATTTAATACTGCTCCTGCATAGTAGGAAGGAAACAAGTTTCTTAATACTGATCCTCTGTATTAGAAAGGCGAATCAATTGGTCAATTAGTACAGAAAAGTGAAACTATCATAATGCACATCTTTAAAGCTTATTTAACTTGGTGATGAAGCAAGCAAGCAATGGAGCTCTAGTTCATTAGAAAAAAATTACATACAACTGAACATGATTTCCTATAAAGTTCCCAGAGATTCTGTCCGTAAGTATAAGAAATAAGCAGTTTAATCTCACCTGCAAGCAAATTGCTACGTTGACCCTGCACCCAAATGTAGTGCTCACTGCACGAGCAGAGAGGCCCAGGTCTTTGAATAACTTAGAGAAAGACTGTGTTAATGTAATCCTTGGTCTCTCCTCTGCAACCACCATGCATGTTCGCACACAGGACAGGTTAACTCCTTTCATCTGAGAGGTTGGGTGAAGAAAACAATGACATTTTAAGTTTGAAGTCAACAATTCTAGATACAAGCCATTCTAATTTGCTGAACAGATGGACTTTAAAAACACTAGAATAACTGACATGAACTGGTTAAACAATATAGACATGGACTGCACTCAGTTTGGCTCCATCCACCCACTACAACCCTGTAAAATTGTGCCAAGAAGCTATGTGGTAGGGTTTGACGCACAAGATGCAAACTACTCATATTGTGTAGCTGCAACACAGCCACTCATCATTTTGAGCTGAAAAAACCACAAAATGTTGTTGTGTCACAGGGCTGGACTCACAAGAGACCTGCCTGCTCCCAGTGCTGCGCAGTTCAGATGCAGGCAGAGCATTTGAGACATTACTAGCTCTCATCAGCGTGAATGTGAACCTGTAGCAACTGGCTGCAGGCCAGGATTCCCCTTCAGGGAGGTCCAGGAGAACAGAGGGACAGAGTTTTTTGTCTATACTGAGAATATGCACAACATATTCTTTGCACAACAAGCTGTGAGACATTCCTAGTGGAAGCCCTGAGCAGCTTAGTTACTACAGCCGTGGGAACTTGCCTACCATTGAGACAGAGGTGCCTCTTCAAGTTTCAGTTAAAGAGATTTCCCTCAAAAATAAATGGATGTGTTAGTGTGTTATAAGCTGCTCTTAGGAAGATGAAATCCATTTTAGAACTCAATACTTTTGGTGTCAAGAGATCTGAAAGCAGGTGAGACTTGCCAGGTTTTGGGGGGCTTTTTGGTTTTTTTGGGGGGAGAAGTTTTTTGGTTTTTGGGTTTGGTGGGGCTTTGGGTTTTGGGTTTTTTTTGGTCTGGGTTTTGTTTTGTTTTGGTTTTTTTTCATCTCAGACAAGAAAAAGTTCATAGGCTTGCTAGGTGTTTGGCCCAAAATCTCAGAAATGCCCAGCAGCACAGAGGTGGCACAAGTACATAAAGTTGAAACAGACTTTTTTTTTCTCCCCACCAGAAACACGAGAGCTGAAAATTCCAGCAATCTCAACATTTCCCGAAAAGTAAGTCATAATGAAAGGCTTTCAAAGAAACACTTATGGCCCATCTTCTGCAAGCCAAAATGAAATATTTTTAGAAAGGTACAGGTATTTGTATGTCAGTACGTTGAAAAATTAAGTCCACTCACCCGCAGTATATCAGTCTGTGTTCCAAGCCCTTTGGTGCACATCTCCATCACGGAGTAGGAGCAGAACGTGACACGCACTTTATACTGACTTACAGCAGACAACCACAGAGACACATTGCTCTCCAGTTCCAGAGGAGGGACTAGAATAGATTGATGACCCGAATATACACTAGGGAGAGGAAGAAAAAGAAGCGTGAAAACTTCAAGCCAGCATAAAAAAGCCGAAAGTTACATAAAGTCAAAATGAAGCAAATACAGGAAAACTGAGAGCCTGCTGTCTATTTGAACTTCAGCTTACCTTCTCCACAGACAGCAAGTATCTCTTAGTTAGCTAAGAACTATGGGTTTGAGTTCAGTCACAAACTTTAAGGTGAGTATATTTGTCCTGCAGTAAACTGTGTTGAACTATAGGCAATACTCAATGCCTTGAATAGACAGAACTTGAGACACTAAGATGTTAACATTTGTGACATCATTCCAGTTACAGATTACAATTGGTAATTGAGCTTATTTTTGTGAGCCATTCTAGGGAAAATGCACCTTTTGCTTTGAGTGAAATGAGTCTTTAACACCTATATTGCATCATTCAAGTTTTTAGTGCAATTTTCTAGCCTTTGCCGTAGGCATGTCTGTTTTTAAACAGTGTTTATGTGAAATAAATATTTCACATAACCTGGAAACGAGTTAACAAGAGCGGACAGAAAGTAAAATTCAAAATCACACCACCTTTTAATTATTTTTTTTTAAATATTATATACTCATTTCAAGTAAATGCCATGACCATACAGTCTTAAATTACCAAATGTTTCTTAGATCAGTTACTGTCAACAAAATCAGTGACACAACCGTCTTTAAAACCAAGCTTAGATAAACCCATGCATCTTGAAAAGAATAACGGCATCTCTAATTGCTTTCAACAGGCACTTGACATGCTTGCCATTTCTCCTGACTAGAGCTGATGTGTTTTTGTCGTGGGCAATATGATGAATTTTTTTGTTTTCTTTTTAAACATTCTAAAATAGAAAAAAATCATTCTGTAATAAAACAGTCTTCCACACTAAAACAAAGCTATAACTCAGATGAAACACAGCAAGCCTTATATTAACTCTTGTATAGAAAGCATGACACATGTAGCTCCCTTCCCTAAAACTATTTTTTAAAATCCATTTGGATTTTAATTCTTCCATCACTAAGGTTTCTTCTTCCTCCACCCTGCCTCACTTTATTGATAATATAAATCATCAGATGTTACCAAAGTTAAGTTTTTGCTTTCCTTCACTATACTTCCTTTCCAGCTGCGGAAATGAGAGCGGGATAGAACATGTTAAATACAGTAAATTTAACTTCATCTGTTTACAAAATAACCTTTCATATTCAGTTTGTGCCTTTTTTTTAATGAAATATCTAAAACACTAAAATCTTTGGATTAGTTAAAGCATATGGAATGTTTTAAAAGGCAAAAAAAGAGGAAAATTTTGCAGCTTTGCAAGATGTGCTGCATTATAGTAGTTATCTGATTAAATCAATTCAGGTTTCATTCATTTTAAGAAACAGTTAATTGCCTCCTCTAGCAGTATTTCTTAGTGCATACCAATCTTGCAGTCAGCACCTTAGGGGTCTTGTAAAAAGACATGGTTTAATCTCAAAAGACTTTAAAATTATCTATTTAATCAATGTGAAATAGACAGTGAAGTCCTTTTTTTCTTGGATTTGGTATCTAATTAATTCCACTTGCAAAACGCAAGCTACTCAAGTGGCCTGAGTAGCCACTTATTTAAATTAATTTTGTTATCACAAAAGGTATTTTGTGAAATAAAATAAAAAGGTTAATTTGGGCTTCTCTAACCGTTTCATCCATGACTGTTCCCTTGGATTCTAGAGAAGGCTGGCAATACATGAGAAAGCCTACAATTCAAACGACATACCTGCACAAGCACCATAGTGCAAATCCCAAGCCACAGTAAGGGTCAAGGCAGATGGCAATCTGACGTGAAGGGTACAGCTCACACTGTAGCTTTATAGAGCGACATAAGGCACTTGTAGCTGCATGTGACATCTGTAAGAGGAAAACAGGTGCTCTCAGGGACTTTTTAAAAAAACAAAGGGTATCACGTGTAATAACTGATAGAAATGTTTATTGTAGAAGATGTGGCAACATGTAGCGGTTTGGGATTTTTTAAGCACCTTTAAAACAGGAAAAGGATATGAGCCCAAAATTTCACAGGTACTTTTCATGCTAGTGGCAAATAACATATGTCATGACATCAAATGATGTCTGACATCTCTATGATAAATTGCAAAAGAAAACATTCATGAACTTTATGACAAACACTCTCCATTTAGTCCCCTCAGTGATTCCTCACATTGAGCCAGTAAGACTGAATGCTTCTAAAAAGTGCATCAAGAAATTTTGATGTCATGCAAATTTAAAAATAAGCTTTACATTTTTCTATTTCTTCTCTGGCAGGAGGAATGACTGTGGAATATGCCTATATATAAGGAAACAAAGTATAATAAATCTCTCTTGTTATTCTACCTTTACTCCTGCTAATATACCAGTGGTAGACACGCTGAAGTCCAAGTATGCCAACATATCTGGAGATGTAGGTCTGAAAATACTAGCCAGCTTCTTTTTAGGAGTATCATCTATTTAAAATACATAAAAAGAGAAGAGTACCATATTATTATTTTGGAAAAAGAACACAGGTCAAAAATGTATCTTTACACCATTAACACCAGATGCTTTCTATAGTTTCTGGACAGCTGTTTTGATGCAATGCAAGATACATCCATTCACTTAGGCAGTTATAGTTATAACAAAATAAATAAATCAGTCTTCAAACTATTTACATTTTGGCTAGTGGGCAAACTTTCTGTACCTGTATCCAAAATAGTGGGCCATGTTTTAATATCTACAGCTGTTGCAGCTTCCTTGGACTTCAGCAGTTTCATTATCGCTTGTGTGGTCAGTATACATGCAGACTTGCTGACCTATAAAAGACACAGCATTAAAAACATTTATAAAACTAGTGAATGAATGCTCAAGTGATTTCATATCCATCCAGATGAGATAACCAGTAAGCTGAATAGATGAAGAAAAACATTGGAAACAAAGCAAAATAAATTACAACAATAGAAAGAACATTTTAAACGAATTTCTGAAAAAGTATTTATTGGCTCAGCCACAGCCTTATTTTTTTTCCTAGCTTACTTTACATTGACTGTGGCAAAGCAATTTATTAGGCTGCATCAACCACCCTAGACCCACCAAAAGCATTAGGAATGTCTTATACATACCTCTACAATCATTTTGACGGTAGGCAGAGTGGTAGCAAGATTCTGTGGATGAGGTGGGCGAACGGTGATAGGTATACAGCCAGCATATAAGCAGCCATAGAAAGTTGCTATCAAGTCTACTCCTGTAAAGGGTATTTGTGAAATTAAAGCCATTTTTATCAGAACAAAAGGCCAAACTTTCACCAAAATCAAAATACACACTGATTTATTTCATTAGGATGTAACAATTTGTCACAAAGGCCTCTTCAAATCAACAGGCTGTTCTTGGCCGTACCCTATTCTATAAGGCTAAAATATTTTGCATTTGAGAGTTAGCAAAAATTATTCAGACCCTACAAACTTTAAATTTGTAGGGATAAACTTTCATGGAGAGGTAGTATAAAATAAGAAAAATAACAAAACAAGGTATTGTAGGTTATGAAGATGACAACTCAGATTCTTTTAAAAAGCATACATTTGGTTTTCACAATTATCACTCTGACATATGCAGTCATCCTACTTTTATGAGCCAATCCTTTTCTCCTGAGGTACACTTGTAAATACACACTAGTAATGCAAGTCGGTGGTCCAGATTTCACTTCTAGAAACAGCCATTCAGGAAAGAAAGCGTGTTCATACACTGACATCCCTCATCTAGCTTTCAGTGGATACATATGCAGTTTTATTCCATTCTCTTGAGGCTGAAAAACGAGAATCTTTCATGTGCTTTAAATCAAACTACTCTTGCATAACTGCCCAGACATCTGGAGCAGTTAGATGAAATGTTTGGTAAATGTAGTTTGCCACTTGGAGAAGTGACATAATAATAAAACAACAAAAAGGAAGTATCTTCCTTGAAATACTAAGTCACTGCCATACACCACTATATTAAATAGATGTTTAAATGCTCTGTCTTGGCAAGAGTTGTTTCTTTTCTTGTGGTGTCTGACTTTGATTTTTGCTGTCTGTACTGCCTTACCTGGAGGATACACCAGGGCCACATGGTCACCAACATTCAGTCGTCCTTTCTCCATCAGTGCGACTGCCACTCTCTCTGCTCTCTTGTGCAACTGTATGCATGATGCAGTGCTAGCTACAGTGCCCTGCACAAGACAGAAGCAACATCAGAAAACTTTGTGGAGAGCAGTTTAAAACAGAATGAAGTACATGCTGCAGATGTGATATTTCATTGTCCTTATTCTAACAATACAGCAAACACTTTTAATGACTCTGTCTCGGTGTTTCAGAAACCATGCTGCTGGTACCATGAACTTTTCGAATGCTGGAGAATTTAATATGTATTATTTTGAACATCAGACAGTGAAGCAGCTTCTAAATGTATTTGGTATCACAAAAAGAATACCTTCCAAATATTTGAAATTTCACAGTCCAAGGGAGAAAACACAGTAGTAGTAGTAGTAGTAGTAGTAGTAGTAGTGTAGTAACACAATTGTTTTAGCAGCAAGTGAAGCACTGCAACAGGTTTATCCTACCATGCACAACCAAACCTCTGCATGCTTTTGCAATCAGCAGTCTTAAAAGTGCAAAGGGAACTCTGCTGATATCTTTGGTATAGATATTCTTTTAAAGGGTCATACAGGCAACCTGAGCTGTGGTTGGTATGCACTGTCACTTCTGCTTCATTGCATCTACTGTCCACCTTGTAGAAAGTGTATTTCCCACAACTATGCATCTGGAAAGTCTTCACATGGAAGCAGCTGTACCTTTGGATTTCTTAGGCAGTCACAAAGTCATGGGGATTCCAAAAGGCTTAGTCCAGTTTTTGATATGAAGATAGAAAACATCCCTTTGCTATCCAGCCTAGGAAGTGATGCCTTAGCCTTAAGCCTGTGAGGTTGGGATGTATCCGTTTTTCCAAGACTACAATCTGATTCAAGAAAAACTGTTCAGACAACCACCTCAGAGGAAAACAAACAGTCAGAGACTGAATGAAGGCTCCTGCTATACAGATAAGGATTATCACAGCGAATGTCTGCCACACAAGTATTCAGTTTCAAGTCCAGATAAGCTGCCACATGTAATCCTCAGCCCAAGTGCACAGCTGTCTGATCCCAGGCCTAGTTTGATGCAGGACAGCACTGGCACTCTGCTCACTTTTACTAAGGAAACTGTTGTTAAAGCCTGGGAGCTAAAGTCATGCAAAATAAGAACAGTAAATACAGTGTATTGTTGATATTAGAACAGTAGCAGCTAAAGGACTTGGGAGAAAAGTATTGACAAGAAAAAGTGTAAAACAAAAGGGTTTCTCACGGAGAGCTGCGAACACACTAATATTTAGCATTGTAGCTTATTAGTCCCAGCTATTTAAGGCATGTGTTCACCAACAGATAGTTTCTTTGTGCCTAAGTTTTGTGTTTCCTTTTTGCAGGGTCTCCTTGTGAAGGGTAAAAGTTGCCTGAACAAAAAGTGAGCTTCTTCATACTAGAAAACTTCCCTCAAAAGCCTCTTCACTCTGAGAGAATAAACCAATTCTTTTAACAGTAACCATACTGAAGCAGTTTCTTCTGCTAAAGCACAGTCTCATGAGAAAAGTCAGAACTTTGAACCATGTTCTAAACCATTTTGCCTGTCTGAATGAGAGGCCCAAAGGTAAATTCATCACTTCCCAAGGACTGCTGCTGGACCTTCTGAAAGCAAGTTCCCTATCTCACATGTCTGCGGTCCAGTACAAGGTAGGCCAAATTTTTCACTGGGCTGTTACTGTCACTGGAAGGGTAGCTACAGGCTCAAACTCAGATTGACCAACTTTGCCTCCTGGAAAGAAAAGAGGGGAATAAAACATGCCAGAAGAGCAGTAGAAGAATCTAAAATATTTGAGTTTTCTGAAATATGCACAGCAGTAGCGTTCCTCAAGCCCAGGGAGGCTGAAATACTGAGGAACATACAAAAGTGCACGTTTCTTCACACCCCTTTATGAAGTGTTGGATGCACAGGGTACGTGAATGCTCCAAAACTTGCAGAGCAGAGTGACTATAAGAAAAAATGATGTATTTACTGAGAAACATGACTGTTGCCTTGCCATATGCCGTCAGGGCTCAGACAGCCCTTGAATAAAATAACTATATAGAGCCTATAAGTACATAGAGCCTGTACTCCAAAACTGAAGCATTTACTTGTTCATATTTGAGTGACTGTAAGTGCCATCCTTTTTAGGGGCAGAGCCTAGCTGAGGACAAGGCATCAGCATCTCCTGAAGGGTGTGCAGTGCTCCTGGAAAATATGATCCCAAAGCTGTCCCAAGGGTTCTCTACTTAGGCTTTAGATCTTCCGATTAAAAAAAATCCACCAGCTCTGACTTCCAGTTACGCTTGTGCTCAGGGAGGAAGCCAGAACTGTGGCTTCCATTAATATGACAAAAGTTGTGTTCCAGCAGGAAATGCAATTACTGCAATGTTTTAAGCTAGGCAGAACACATACTGAAATTCCAGCTGTGGAATAAAATACGTGGAACTAAATTCCAGATGTGGAAAAATTATGCTGCTTGCTAACTAGCAATTTTTTTCTGCTTCAAAATCATGACAACCCACATCATTAATATAACCTGAAGCATTTTAGGAAAAGACTTCTAGCTGGAATTTTCTTAGAATCCAAACAATCTTTTACTGATCTCAATCTCCAAGTATGACCTAAAGTGCATCTCACCTTGGAATTCAACAAAAGGAAGAGGGGATGATCTGGAGTTGTCTGAGCTCGCCACTGAAGAACATCTGCTAAATACAGGAACTGAAACAGGAAAAAAAGGAGACATTCAGATTCACTCAAAATGCACCATGCTTAGTTTCAGCAGAATACCATAACTGGTCTTCTCTCATTTTGAATACGCCAATTCAAATACTTAATAACACCAGGACATTAGTGCTACCTTTCTTGCCTGGTCGTTATCCTCCAACTGGGTAACATCTCTCCCTGAGGCTTGTGCAATTCTCTTTCCAGCAACAAGGTTTCCTACTATCATTGAAGCAGGACCAACATCTGCATGTTGAAAACAGTGCAAAATGAGGAAGAATAATGTAAGGAACGTGTAATAATCTACAATTCAGCCTACAGATTACTATAAATGCCATATGTAACATAGATCTGTAAAGATGAAAAGCTAAAACCAAGGATCATATTGCATAGAAAAAGAGAGAAGAGGATAGTATGGTATACTAAAAATCAGTCCATTATCAGTATGGTACATTAAAAATCAGTCTACGACTGATTCAGCAAATTGAGGTCTGTCTGTACTTCAGTTTTATTACATGAGTTACTGGCTTTTGCAAGATGGCCAGTACAGGAACAATTTATAACGTAGCTACAGAAGCATGAAATGAGTACATGCTGTGTGTCCTTGCATTTATCTGGGATTCAAGGTAGACCATAATGCCCTCACTGAGCTCCAGGCTGCTCTGACAACACCACTAGCTTGGCCAAGTTAGGCAGCTTAAAGCCATCCAACATGCACAGCCCTGAGCTTTCATGTTGCCTCCAGATCATACTCCATGCATATCCTCAGAGACAGACACGCAGAACTAAGGAATATGCCCTGGTTTACTCACCTGGTTGCTTCTGTCGAGGCTTAGGGAGGTTAGTAACGCAAGTATGCGGACACATCAAGACATTACAAGGGTGCAGAGCACCCTCTAAAAAGCGCTGCTTGGTTTCTGAAATATGAATTCCTCCAAGTGGAGCCTTTGGCAAAGTGTTGGCTGGCACCAAGGCAAGACAGTAGATGCCCACTTGGTGAATGCTATCAATTGCCTGGATAGAAAGAAAAAAAAAAAAAACCCAAACATTCCATGTTATGAACTGGAATATAGCTACAGCACAAATTTGAATTCAAGTCATTTAATAACATTAAAATTTTTACTTGCACCATAATTTGCAAATAAAGGGTCCAATTCTGCACTCACTGAACTCATAGAAGTTGTGCCATGACTTCAATGGGAGCAGGAGCAGACCCAGGACTTTGCTTGTGCACTCTATCAAGGGGATGCCACCTGCACATCAGGGATTAGGAAAGTCTCTTAAAAGTGGGCAAAAAGTGCAGAGATTTTAAAAAGCCAAAAGTATACCACAATATACCAAATTTAGCACATATGGCACAATCACAAAAGCGCAATAGAACATAAAACCACAAAAATAGGGAGGGAAACATCTTGCTGCCTGAAACTTAAGTGTCTATTTTAGCTATGACACTTCTAAAAAGAGGAATAAAAATATTTTCTCCCATGAAAAACAGCTTTTGTATTACCAGATATTCCCTCCAAAAAGATTACAAAGCTGAAATTAGACAGAAACCATTATTACACAACTGCCTTACTCTTAAGAAGCATCTTCCCTTAAGTTGTTCTCTCTAGCCTTCCCTTCAGTTGTCCCTTCACCAGAGTCTTCTTCCATAATCGCTCTCTCACTTTGTACTTTCTTAGAACTGATCGATTAATCCTGAAATCCTCAAATGCAAATCTACCATAATTCCCCTTCCTCCTGGCCCCCCACAAAAACACGATAACGTATTTTTTTTTGGGGGGGGGGGGGGGGGGAAAAGCATGCTTTTGGAGATCTAGAATAAGGATGTTAGTGACATAAAAAGATTTCAGGGTTTTCATACTTGGCACTAAGTATACTCTTTAAACATTTTCAGACTTAACTCTCCCAGCCAGTATGAAATCAGCAGAGATATGCAGAATTAAAACAAACAAACCCCATCATCCTTAGGACTTTAAGAATCCTAGTAGTATGAAGTTAAAAAACATTCCAAAAGAAAGTCTTACTTTTTACAAAATTCTGTTAACTATCAACCCTGAAATACATTCAGAAGTCAGCTTATTACAGCTCTCTGTAGTTACACTGATAGGTTTTTCTTATTGAAAAAAAGATAATCTAAGATTCTCATTTCATACATCAGCCTTTTTCACCTGGAAAGAGAGAAAGGACAGACTGACTACCTGTAGAACCCTGCTCATCCACTGAAAACTATCCTCCTCTGATGCATCAGGGCGCTGCTCTGCCACAAGCACTATTCGATCATCATGCAAAACGGTCACAGAAAACACTGCTATCCTAAAACGCAAAGGACAGAAGAATGATAGGATGCAACATATGATGAACATAGTATGGTCTATTATAATGTGGAAATGACTGCAACCTGTAATGGTAGTGTTTCAACACACACAAGCATTATTCATGCCAGATCATCACAAAATCACAGACAAATTTAGAACAAATGTAGGTTCATTATTGTAATTTATTTCTGTTGGGGGTCAAGTGAATTTGCAGTCACCAATGTAGCATGAGTTTAACACAGGCAGGTTCTGGTATGTGCAGGGGCAAACCTTGCCTATGTAACTCCATCATGCACGCTAAACTTGTTGCATCTAGATACAATGTCCCTTCTGGAAGACGACAACTATGCCAAATTACTGACCAGCATGTCTATCAAAGCTTGCACTGAAAAATACTTACTCCCATTTGTGAATTAAATTGGTTCTAGGCTTGCATCTTCTAGGATAAAATATTAATAAAGCCTCAACAAGGTATGTGCCATTATTTTTCTGATATCTGAATTGCACAAATGATGCAAAAATGAGGAAAGCTCAACTTTCATAGAATGGTTTGGGTTGGAAGGGACCTTTAAAGGGTCATCTAGTCCAACCTTCCCTGCAATGAGCAGGGACGTCTTCAACTAGATCAGGTTGCTCAGAGCCCCGTCCAACCTGACCTTGAATGTTTCCTGGTATGGGGCATCGGCCACCTCTCTGGGCAACCTGTTCCAGTGTTTCACCACCCACATCGTAAAAAATTTCTTCCTTATATCTAGTCTGAATCTACCCTCTTTTAGTTTAAAATCATTACACCTTGTCCTATCGCAACAGGCCCTACTAAAAAGTCTGTCCTCATCTTTCTTATAAGCCCCCCTTAAGTACTGAAAGGCTGCAATAAGGTCTCCTCACAGCCTTCTCTTCTCCAAGCTGAACAATCCCAGCTCTCTCAGCCTCTCTCCATAGGAGAGGTGTTTCATCCCTCTGATCATTTTTGTGGCTCTCCTCTGGACCCATTCCAACAGTTCCATGTCCTTCCTCTACTGAGGACTCCAGAGCTGGATGCAGTACTCCAGGTGGGGTCTCACCAGAGAGGAGTAGAGGGGCAAAATCACCTCCCTCGACCTGCTGGCCACGCTTCTTTTGATGCAGCCCAGGATAAAGCTGGCTTTCTGGGCTGCGAGTGCACATTGCCCACTCGTGTCCAGCTTTTCATCCACCAGTATCCCCAAGTCCTTCTCTGCAGGGCTGCTCTCAATCCCTTCATCCCCCAGCCTGTATTGACACTGGGGGTTGCCCTGACCCAGGTGCAGGACCTTGCACTTGGCCTTGTTGAACCTCACAAGGTTCACATGGGCCAAATATCTCGAGCTGGTCCAGGTCCCTCTGAAAGGCAGTCTGTCCCTCAGGCACGTCAACCACACCACTCAGCTTCGTGTCATCTGCAAATTTGCTGAGGGTGCACTTGATTCCACTGTCTGTATCATTGATGAAGATATTAAACAGTACTGGTCCCAATATGGACCCCTGAGGGACACCACTCATCACTGATCTCCATCTGGACATTAAGCCATTGACCACTTACTGCTATAAAGTTGGTGATACAACACAAACTATCTTTGAAGGTCCTTCAGCAGCCTCAACACTCCTAGTGTGTTCTTTAGAACATGCTGCAAAGTTCTTCCCTAGGCCACTCTGCATGAAAGGCTCAGGTGGACAAAGGGGAGTTGTGTTTTACATTTGGCATGCAAGCTTCATTTGACTGTCTTAAGAGAAGTTTTGAAAGAAGTTTTAAACAGACACTTGAAGATCTACACTATGTGAAGTAATTTTAAATCTATTATGCATGAAGCAGGGTGTCAATAATTGTCTTCCAAGTTAGCAGGGACAGCCAAGTTCTTATCTGGCATATCACAACCTAATGCCACCTTTTCTACAAAATACATATGTAAAAATTCACATGCAAAGCTCCTGTGTACACTATACTACCTGTTGATCGTTTGCAAGTGAAAAAATGAGCAAAGTCCAATCAGCAGTAGTGAAGTTTTTAATATACTCACCTTCCCCGATAGACAAACTTCATGGGTTCAACTGCCAATGCGGTGGCTACCACATCATCCGCATTGTGCCTGCGGCCACTAACCGTCATTAGGCCATCCAATTTTCCTACCACAAACACCAAATAATCCTGAAAAGAAGACAGGATTAGAAATAGAGGTGAAAAACCTCCAGACTCCCAGTGATACATGCCTGACTAAAGCCAACAATATTGAGGTCACTGCCCTGACACAGAACTCTGCTGAATTTGGGGGCATCACTTAGAGTTGGGAGTCAGGACAAAGCAGGGCCCCAGATGGCTCATTCACACTTACAGGACCCACAAAGCCAAGCAATCCTGTTCTTGTAAAGGGTTGGTCTGAAACAGGCACACCGGCTGCCGTCACTGGAATGGCCTGAAAGAACACATAAGTATTCAGACACTCTTACTTTCTTACTGATAAGAAAATGAAGTTAAAATGCTTTCTGCCTCGTTTCATTGCAGCTCTACTGCCAGTTGAAAAATTACCTGATGACAACAGTTACAATCATGTCAAGTATGAACAACAGCTTTTTGAATAATGAAGAACATGCCAATTCTTAACTCTGTGGTAGCCTTCCATCTTTTTCTCAGCTACTTAGCCTTCATAACAAGAGTTCACACCACCTTTTTAATCAGGTTTTATAGTATGCACTCGTATAGCACTTAATCAGAAAGTCTTTCTGTTGCTACTATTAACATACCTGGCAAGATACGTACCTAGGCATATCACTTCAATTGCGACAAACACTATGCTATCAGAACTTTGAGGAAGTTAAGTTTGCTGCAATTATGGGACTGCCTATGACGGAGAACCAGAGCAAAAGCATTAAGCTCATCAGCAAGTTCCCCTGCTCAGGTGGTTTCCTTGCCTCCCCCCGCCAACTCTTCCATTACATCAGGTTTCTCACTGGCTCTCTCACTAGCTAAGGACAGTGCTGAAAGCTAAGCTGTTTGAAGTGCTGAGGCTCGGCAAGCTGACAGAAAGAGCTTTTTTTTGACAGAGAAGACTATGGTCAGGATTTCTTTCATCTCTCTGGTAGAACTCCATGCTTCAGCAGTCTTCAAACTGATGCCCAGTGTAACACTACTGTGTGTGCGACTCCCAAAGGACTTCCACATATCTGAACAAATGCATTTTGATTGTATGAAGAAGCTCACAAATATCAGACTAACTTCTAACGCTATGTCCCAAGCTGTGTACCAATAAACTTGAAATGTCTTCAGGTAACTGCTGTGTTAATGCAGAACTAAGACAAATTTAAATGCTAACATAGGCACAACACTGGATAGTGGACCATAGAGGGAGCTGACTGACTGCTGACGGTACTTTATTTCTGGTTATAAGAGACAGAATTTCGAGTTCTGCTAGAGAATGAAGCAGAGTGTATTTGGCCAGGGCTTTTTCTAATAAAATAAAAAAGGAAGTTTAAGGAACAAATAAGTTTATTTGCAAGAAGAAATACTAGAAATGTAACAATGAAACTTTACATTACAAAGAGAAATACAAACCTCAAACACATTCTTGGTGATTCCAAGGAGGCCGAAATATGCCAACCCAGTTGCACCTGAATTCACACATATCTCTCCAACCTCATCGGCTTTACACAGATAAGGAGTCCCATCCACCTTCACAACACACACATTTGCTAAAGGGAGAGGAAGAACACAGAATCACAGCACTGTTACACTTCAGCAGCTGACACAAGTTGCTTTGTCACTGACAGGCAGATAAAGATTTTAATATCTATTATCTATGAGCTACAGCAAAAACACAGTATGCAAGAGAGCTCTATCTATCTTTTTGACAGCCTGTGTAATGTGTTCTCCAAGATTAAAGACACAAGTTCGCAAATGCATTTTTTTTTCCTACAGGGCTTCACAGCTTACACGTCAGCTGCAACTGAATCCAAAACCATAGCAATTGTTTTTCAACGTGAAGGCAGATGGTTTGATCAAGTACAAGCATATATGAGAATAAAGATGAAAAATAAGAACATACCAGTTACAGACATACCATTCCTTTTATTTATTGCACACTTTGGTATTCATAGTATCATCCCTTAAGTTATGTGAGAAACACATTAGAAATGGAGAGAAAACTAAGCTATTTTATTCTCTCACTGTCAGGTCAATGATTTTTCTGTGTTATGCACCATCTTCTTTTAAAGCAGGCCAGTCTGCCAACTATTATTTGGAGACCACAGCCAACTCATCTCACAGAGCTGTCCCTTACTGAACTTACTCCTGTGACTACATATTATCTCTTCCCTACCCTCAGTTTGATGACCTCCTTCAACTCATTAAAAGGATTGCATTTCATAAATGCCCTACAGCTACTATCTTACCAATTTTCTTCTGAAATCTCAGAAGGCTTCCTACACTGAAATTTTCTTACTTTGAATCAAGGACACTTGTAAACCAAATATTAGACTGAGCTTTGCTCTGGCCACTGGTTGTATTTTACTTCTGAAGCCACTGTTTTCTCAGAGGTTTCTCTGGCTAAGTAGAACCCTGGCTTAAGCAGTCTGGATTTGTCCTTTCGTAGTGCGAAAGCGAAAGGAAAAATTATACAGAGGGAAAAGGCATGATGGAACAAAGAAGTTTAGCTTAGCACTTAACTCAAGATTAACAAAGAAATCAAAACGGCTACCTAGGTCAACACAAAATAAACAGAGCCTTTGAAAAATAACACAGACTATGCCATAAATTAAATGTTCTGCCCTTTTCCATTGCATCTGCTTCCAATTCAGATTATCAGAGTCCTTTGTGGTCATGCACACTATATTAAAGAAAACAACCATGAGACCCCTGAGGTATCAGAAATTTATTTAGTTAGTTTATTTCTATCGGGATCTTTTGAATGTTTTGGCCATGGAACATATGTCAGATGGGAAGCCCAGATAAGGCTTACAACCACCATTATGAAGGACTGTATTACTCTTTTCTAACTTAGGCAATCTTAAGTGATACACAGATAGCCTTTCCTTTTACCACTGTACAACCAGAATGAAGAGAAATCATAAATGGAAAGTAGTACATTTCCTTTCATACTGATAAAGCCAGCTCTACTGCAAGGAGGGACCAAGAACTCTGCTGGTAAAGCAGGTTCATAGGTACATTTTCTAATCTCAGAGAAGTCTTCAATTCTCAACAACTTAGGTCTGAACAGGAAAGACAATAATTCACCCTACCAACAGATCAACCTCTAAATTACCTTGGTTTCATAAAAATTATCTAGCAGAACAACTAGCATTTATTAATAAAATGTTTGGAACTATGATAACTTTTGGTGACCAAATAAGGAGACCCCACTCAAATTCTGGCACAGGTCCAAGTTCAAACTAGAACAACAGTTTCAATTGGTGAAAATTATATGTACGAACTAGAAGGTTGGAACTGAATTATACAGTATGAACTATCAGTCATGCAGAAAACACATTTTGCAATTTAGGAGGAGAAACTGGAAAAGAGGCCATTTAAAACTTAATGGTAAATTGAAACAGAATAAATAGTTTATTACCACAGGAAATAACCTGAGTTAATCTCAGAACTCTGTATGTAACACTTAAGCAATGATGCAGAGAGAACTGTTAATAACTGGAGAAAGCGCAACAATTTGTAGGCATACACAAATGCTACAGTCCTCAACTCATTCACAAACATGGAAAAACCAACAGATTAGCCTGCAGGACCCAAGTGATGCTCCATCCATGAAGCCTAAGGACAATCCTATCACCCTGATCAAGTAAAAAAAAAAAAAATACTTACCAGTAACCAATGTATGAAACAGGTAGTCTACACGTACATGCTAACAGCAGGCATAGTTCTGCCCTGCCATGTGATACTGCAAGGTTTTCCTTTTGCAGTATCTGTAGAACCTGTACTCTTGCTTCTCCTTCTTTTCCTGGTTCGTGTGTGACATACAAGAGAGTGCATCTACCACCATTTCAGTCTCTCTCAACAGCATTGCATCTGAAAAAGAATTAGAGAGAAGGGAAAAGCAGATGGGACAGGAATGTACATGTGGACTACACATCACGAAGAATACTGATTACTGGTTAAGAAAGCTTTCTTTCTTCAAATGAGTCCACATGTACATTCTTATAGATGGTGACTCTCAGCAGTTAGCCCTGCCATGAGATTTCTGGCAGAGGATGAGAATTCTACTGTGCAAACAAATGACTGCACTGATGCCCTACCAAAGACTGGGTTCAGCTTTGGATGTTTCAAGACCAGCACAGCATGAATGCAAGAAGAATGTCAGAGGCCTGCACAGCAGAAGGTGCCTGATGAGTGTTAAAAAGTGCTCTCTTGTTCCACTTCCACAGTTTCATAGTGGATCTGTATGCAACTGATATCTATTTGGATTGTTACTGTATGCCAACAGTGGAACTCCAGGATCTTCTTGTAGCAAGCAAGTCTTACTGGAAGGCCTGGGTCTATGAGAATAAAAACAAGAGGGCCCTCCTTGCACTACAGTCTTCAGTTATAACTTCTGTTCTAGAAGCATGACGGCTTAGGAAAAACACTAAAAGTCTAGGATAAAATGCCTCTGCCACCATTGTGGAAGGTATTTGCAGCGTTTCCAGAGAAACCTAATCTTTGAAGAAAATAGCACACAGGGATGTCCAATGCAAGGGCCTGAATCCCCTGTTCTTCTGGGAAGGGCAATAGGCATAAAGCAAGCCAACTTCCTAGATAAGGATGAACAAGAATCTAGACTCTAAAGGTGGTGGTCACACAAGTATCCAAAGCACAACATTTAAATTGGAAGAAAGTGTCTCATCAATGTACACATTGCCACAGATCTCCAAGAGAAGTTCTGCAGTGGCAGGCTATTGTACCATCATGTGATAGACTGAAGTCAAGTGGAACACACAGAACTGATTACTATGATAAATTCTAAGGACTGAGTGGGAGTGAGGTACTGCTACGTTACATTCACAATCTAAGGAAAAAGACTGAAAGATTCACAAAATTTTTCTGTAACAACTCCTTTCACAAATCAGGCACTGAGATAAAGGAACCAGATTCCTCTGCAGTGAAGATGCATTGTGATAACTACCAGAACCTGGGAAAATGTTTGCTGAGAAATGGACAGAGGAAACAATAACATCCAAGACATCCATAGACTGGAGATAAAGTAAGCATCCTGCCATTTGAGAAATTTGAACCATTCTTCTTGAACTTCTGGGAAAGGTACTGAATACAGTCACAATCCAGAATTTGAAACTGTATATGCATAAGTTCATCTTGCAGAAGCCTAAGATCTGGCATCAACCCACAGTTTTCTGCTTGAGTATAAGAAAGTAGCTGCTGCAGCACTCTTTGTATGAACCACACTTTGTATAATTAGAAGCTAAAGGGATATAGAACTTCTGGATTAGAGAGGGTTACTCTCCTGTTGAAGAACGAACGGGAGAAGGATCCCTGTAAAAGAATGGAAATGCTTAGTTGGGAAGTAGCAGGGAGGCAAACTTAACTGAATAGCCTGAGCACCCATACCAAGGTCCAAGCATAATTTATAATAAGCTTCAAGATGACAGATGACACAGCAATCTTATCCCAATTGATGTAAAAGATGGAGGCACAAAACAGGCAGAAGAAGAGAGGTTTGGTACTCTCCCTACCATCTTTACTAGTCCAGTTTGAAAAAATGAACTGAAGATTGTTATGAGCCAAATACTGCTTCTTAGCAATGTCAGTCCCAGACAGAAACCATGCAAAATAGCCCAAGGTGGTCAACAGGTGAGGCAAAACATCATCCCTTCAGGAGCTGCAGAGAAGATTCCAGGGGAATGAATACTAGGTTCTCTCTTAAGAATTCCCATGCTGTCTTTGATGGCAAGATTTCTTCGTGGATGCTTGCACTTCCCTGGTGGCTCTTGTGATTGGCATTCATGGTAGATAATGAAAATGAACAGCCAAGGCAACTGAAGAGAATGTGGCATCAAGAGCAGCCTATGGGTTAAACAGCAGTGACATAAGACATGATCCTGGTGCTGAGGGGTCTGTTGAATAATATCGCCTAAGCAGGTGGGCTCAGTGTCTCAGAACAAAGAGCAAGATCTGAAGAAAAGGAGGGCGAAAGTGGACACTTTATCCATGACCTTTTAACCAGCTGGTTCCTGAATAAAATAGGCCAGGGATCCTCAAGGGTAATGAGATCAAAACCATTTGGCTTGACTGAACAACCCTCAGGATGACTACTAGTTCTTGGCTAGGAGACTACTTTCACAGCTTGTTTAACCAAATGAAGTTCAGGAATGTGAACGCCTATGTCATAAGATATTTGAAAGACTAGGGCATGTAGTGACTTCCAAGACCTTAAATGTATTCAGTGGGGATCAGAAGATGGAACAAACCCTTCAGGGATGGCATCTGACTCAAATTAGGCCTTTGGTGAAAGCACAGCCACCTAAGGAAAGGAAAAAAATACAAAACCAAAACCAGATAAAGAGCAAGACTCATCAGTCAGCAGAGTAATTTAAGAGGGCAACTAACAGGAAAGGAAATGGTGGTATGTTCTCTCCTGTATGCCAAACACCAAGTGAGAATGGACAGAGCACATCCTCCATGAACACTATATAGAAAAAAGCATAAATCTTACAAGGTAAGGCACAAGTATATCCACTGTTAGAATGTACATG